TTATTTTAGCCTTCAAAGCTAAGATATCGACTCTTAAGGCTTTGATCTATTTTAGCCTTTGTCGCGGGGATTGTGACATTTTGAATTAGGCTTTTTTAGACTCATCCACTTCCGGTTTATAAATCGAAGCTAACTTTTGCCAGAGGCAAAGATCGCATAATCAACTTTTCGTAAACGATTTGGATTTCACAGATTTCTCATCGACTCTTGATTTTTATTCGAGCCAAATAATGTGTTAGTTTTAATTTTTTATATTTTTCTTAAAACGTCGAAAAATCGATCCCAACATCTCTTGGCAAACTACACATCATAAATCGAAATAGAGTTTAATGGACTTTGTTTTGAAATGTCAAAATCGAAAATTTATAACATATTAGAAGAAAGTGAAAGATCGTAAAGTTGCCTTTTTGTTGAAGACAAAAGTTGAACAGTCTAGAAGACGATTTTTGTATCCATATTTTATGAAAGTTACGTTTGTTTCGAGACACGAAGTCCCTATTAGGCGATGCTAATTCGGAACTTCAGGTTCTGTCAGTGTTTTTATGTCAAAGGTTCTATCAAGGGTCACAATTCGTTCGAAATTAGACAATTTCTACAACTAAAAGTTAGGCTGCGCTAGAGAGGAACTTATGTACAGTCCACGCAAGTACTGGAAAATCGAGTTGTTGTATCAGCGGACAGACAGTACATGAATCTTTAACTCGAAACCGGAAACTTCCAATATTTCATGTAGTCATAACTGTACATATATTTCATTCGGCCAAACATTTGAAAAAGAGATTTGTTTTCACATTAGATAAACCATCCTGAAGGTTTGCTATTTTAATCTTCCCTGGACTTACTCAGTTAGTTCTCCGGCCCTTGATGTTTTCACTATTTTCGAAATATTCATGGCTCGAGACTTTTGTGCTATTTCTTTCAGCTATTTCGTCATAAATTTCTTAATAGAACTTAGAGCACCATATTTTAGAGAACATATATATCGAAGATCAGTTATAAAACCAAAATTATTTGTTCAAAGGCAACTCCAGTTAGTTACAATTGTAACTAAATTCAAAATATTCTATTTGAAAACAAATTGTTGTACAAACATACCTAATTGCCTTTCATGAAGTTTCAACTTTAATGTCATTACCTTCCTTGGTCTTGATCATAAGAGTTCGTAAAATGATAACTACTTCCATACATAATATGGAAGTGGTGGGCCTAATTTTTAGTAAGTAGCTAAATAAAGTAAAACGATTCCTATTCCAACGAACGCCATCTATATTCCAATTTGCTACAGTGATTTCATCTGTCATCTTTCAGAGATCCAAACTTCTAACAGAGAACAGTTTACTTCAAAAAGTAAGAGGTTTAATCGTTCCTTTTTCAATGAACGCCATCTTTACTCCAAATTATTATAGTTCTTTAGTATCGTGAATTATTATTGCGTTTCTAGGAATTCGAAGATTTTATAGAAACGGGTTTAAGTTATCCTGACTTCTTACAGAGGAATCAGTACAGTTTGATAAAACGAAATGTGCCTTTAATTTTAGAAGCTAATGCGTTAAGTGGTTCCTATTCAACTAACACCATCTATAATACAATTTACTACAGCGTTTCAGTAACATCATTTTTCATTACGACTCCAATAATTCGGAAATCTCATATTGGCAAGATTTTAGTTATACAGTGGTTTCTATTTACCTGCATCAACAGGCCTTTGCAGACCAAAAAACTTTTTTTATGCCATTTTTTTCTGAATCCCTTTATTTGAATTGTATATAAGTGCCCAATCGATAGCTGCACATTGGACATTCCTGCCTCGAAAATTTATTTTTTTTTTAATTTGGTTACAAAAGTTGTATTTAGCTGCACAAGAAAATTTTTTTCAAACTCAAAAAGGACACTAAAAAATACCACTTCGTTTTTGTATTCGCAAAAACAATAACAACACAAGAAAAGAGCATGCATTAAAAACATATTCTCGCTTCCTCTCCCACACTAAAAGATGGTTATGCTGCTGCTGCTTTGTTGTGCACGAATAGAAAATTAAAGATAACTGCACTTTTTGTGCACGTAAGTAAAATTAAAGATACCTGCTTCATTGTGCAGATAAATGCAATGAAGCTACCTGCATTTTGGCATTGCTGCACAAAATGTCGTGCAATTTTTGATTGTGCAGGTAAGCAAAAAATACTGTACAAACTTCTTACAAAGGAAAAGACTTCAGTTCGATAAATCGAGATGCGTATTTAAGCTTCTCTAAGTAGTCAGATATATTGCAATGCCTTACATACCCCTAAATTAGTGCAATGCTTTAGTAACGTAATTTTTTATTACTTCTTACATTGACGAAACTACGAAATCTTCGTATTACTGGAGTCGTTATCGTTATAATTTTTTTGAGAGAAAAAAGAATTAGGTTTTAATTTTTAGCAATGAGTAAAAAGCTAAAAAGATTAATGTTTCTTTTTTAACGAACGCCACCTATGTTTCAATCAACTACAGTGCTTTAGTATCGTGATTTTTATTACGTCTCCACTAATTCATAGATATTGTGGATGGTTTTCAGTTATGCAAACTTCTTACAGAGAAAATCAGTTCAATTCGATAACTCGAGCCAGGATTGTAATTTTACATTTGCAAGAGACAGTCACTTGTACCATAGCACTACGTTTTTGTCCGTTTAACAAGAGATGACACTGCGTTTTTGCCCTATAGAATGTGAAGTTCATAATTTTCAAGTCAATTGCCAATATCCCAGTACACTTTTTACTAATTGTAAAATATGTTCCAACCAGTGCCATCTATACTTCAATTTCTTTGAGGACTATAGTAACGTTAAGAAAAATGGCACCAAAATATGGGTAAATATGGTAAAAGTCTTGCATAGATGCTATTTATTGTAGCTTTTGAGAATGGGAGCTTCCTTTATCTGAACTTCTGAAAGTGGAATACTTTTCAATTCGATAAATTGAAATTAGTATATAGAGTGCGCTTCTATTTTTCTAGATTGAATGGTTTGTGAGCGAAGCAAGTGATGACACTACGTCTTTTCTACTGAATATGTAGTTTTTAATTGCAAAGCCAATTTTTTTATCCGAATTTATTTATCCAATTTGTAAAGGCTTGGTTATCGTTATTTCGGCATATTTTCCAACTAACGCCATACTCAATTATACTTCCGTACTTATATGTAGCATTTCCCCATTACGAAGCCACATTGTTGAAACGCAAAAAATGAATAAGTCAAATCGAGACACAATTCCGAACTTTTAGTAGATTTTAGTAAAATTACCCAATTTATAAAAACGAAACTCACATAAAGATGGCGCTTTGTTATGTTATTTGACCTAGATGACAAAAAACACTTGTACATGCGTTCCAACAGATGCCATTACAGTAGTGTGGTTAAATTGAATTCTGTGTGAACCCGACACTGCTTTTTTGCAATGGAATTTGTAGTTTATGTTTTTGAAACCCAGCATTTAATTTCAAAAACCATTTGATTTTCGCTTATGCTATATTTTCCCAATGAGGCAAAAGTAAAATGTCAGCAATGCGAGTTGTTAATATGAGTGACTTACAGTTGAGTGTAGTTGATAAAGACCGTCGATATCCTTTCACTTTTTTTCAGATCTTTCTTGCACTTAAATATAGATACCTTAAATCTTCTCCTACATATTGTTTATCCTTTATCTCCAACATTATCTGAAGATTTTATCTTCCAGCTTTCGAGATCTACTGATGGCTTCATATTTATTATCTTCTCCGTTTGCTGAGTAAAATGAAAGGATTGTATAAATTAAGAATTTCTTTAGGTAATATATGAATATCTAAATTAGTTGAAGATTAACCTTCCTACCTCTTGACAATTTAATTTCCCTTTTAATACTAAAAGGCCGGAACTTCTATAAACAAAATATTGCCAATTAATAAAAACAAGGATCGGCAATATAGTGCCCTGAAGCAAAGGGAGTTCAAACTCAACTGATCGTCATTAATGTATTAACGTTTGAGCGAACACAATAGAGCCATTGCAATTTGAGTGTTTGGCGATCCGTGGTATAGTAGAATATAAAATTTACAATGTCAACGATCGGCTAGGCACTTCACGCTTATGAATAGCTTAGATTATCGAGGACATATGAATTTAATAGTATAATAAATTGAATGTGTTCGTTATAGGTGTAAAACAGGGATCGGCAACCACTACAAACATAATAACAAACTAATACTATTGTGAGAGAAAAATTATGGCAGCAAGTGACCCATAACGCGAACGTAATTGCAGCTTATGACTACAGTAGTCGATCGTTGTTCTTATGTCTAATTTTAATTTTTACTTAAAATGCAAATCCAAAAAGTTTAGCCTAAATGAATTCTTTATCCAAAAATGTACACAATTTTCATTATTCTCCCGAGATATATAACTAGGATTTCTTTTAATGTTTCTCCTTATTTTTATGGAATAAAGAACTAGGATTTTTGTTTTCTGGTTTCTGTTTATTACTGATACTCAGCCAAGTAACTAAATATTTAATAACGTAATCTCTTACTTTTCTCTTCTTTTTGCCTCAATTTTTCTTCTTTCTTGTTTTCGCTGTCTATTTCTATGTCTTTCCCTATCTCTCTCTCCCTCCGACTCTCTTTCTCTCTCTTTCATCACTAATTAAAACACTCTAACCTCTTGATCATATTACAAAAAAAAAACGAACTAATTTAATGTCCTTTTTATTCATGTTCATATTGTTTGTGTGTATGTATGTATGTATAAATGTGTGTCTGTGTGTATTAAATATGTAAATGTATGTATGTGTGCGTGCGCCACCGCGTATTCATCTTGGGCGCCACATGATTCATGATCATAATTTTTACATTCATGTTTGTTTTTTGTTTCTCCCCTCTTTCTCGTTTTTATCTTTTTCTCTCTCTCTTTCTTCTTTTTTTCTTTCTCGCTCTCTATCTCTCGTTCTCCATTTTTCTTCCCACTGTATCTCTCCCCCCTAAAAAAGGGCAATGCCGCCAATTCTTCGGAAACTTCAATGGCCACACAGCCTGGTGGTTCGATGACATCGAGAGCTGCATCGGAAACACGCTCGGGACCGCCCGGTTCCAGTAGTGGTGCTGGCACTACAGGTAATAGCAGTGGTGGAAATGCAAGTACTACACAGACTGGTGCAAAATTTCGTCATGGCCTATTGCAGCTTATGATTCACACAATAGATCCGCTACATGATGGTGAGTTCATGATGTTTCCATAGTGATGTTGCACTATCCCTCACACACACACTCACACATACACCTCCTACACCGGACACTCACAATTTCCTTCCCGAACACACACCTACACAAAACCGTACACTCTCAATTTCTTTGTCTATGTCTCTGTTGATCACCAAACACCACATTGATCACACATTTCCTGTAACTCCCTACCAGTGACATTTTCCTCTCTCTCCCTCTCTCACTGTCACAAAATTCCTTTAATATCCTGTCGTATCTTTATCCTCTCTCTCATTCCATATCAAATAATCCTCATTAAGTTTCATAAAAGCTCTCTCTCACACACATTTTGTTCAGACCAAAAACCAAACCAAATGCGTTTTAAAAATTATTGTTCCATTTGTTTAAATTAGCAAAAATAACAACAACAATTTTATTATACAAAGAAAAGAGCTTATTTTCAATTCAATACCAGAAAAAACTTGTTTGTGCTTTTTACTCCTTCCAAAAAAGTTACTAAAATTTTAAAACAAAAACCATAAACATAATTTATCAAAAACAAAAGCTTTTAGTGTTACCCTTATAATTTGCCTTAATTTTTATTTGAAGTTTTTTTTTATTGCAAGAAAAATATGATTAATTGGAAAGTTTATATAACAAATTATATGCAATAAATTATAAAAATAAATTGCTTGTTAAATGTTTTCAAATTTTTAGAAACAAAAAAAAAATAAAAACAAAAACTTTGATTATATGCAGGGTGATTAACCTATTTGACCAAAAATGATACCGTTTTATACAAATGCCATAAAGCTTTAAAGTTTGTTAGCTAGCTTGGAAATGAAGAAAATAATATAACAATCAGATAGTGAATTTAAAAATAATCTTCAAATGTAACATGTGATTGTGGATTTAACCGACTAGAGTTCTCTGTAAAATATCATTCACATTTAGCCTCTAGTGTTTACATAGAGTCTGTCATTTCTCGATTAAAAGATTAAACGCTGTTCATATTGACCCACAATCAAACATTCTTCATTGATTGGGGTTTGAATGTCTCGATTCTTGTCCAGTCTTGTATTAGAGCAATCTCTCAAAGTAAGTTGTGGTAATTCATACAATTTTCTTTTCAAATGGTGTAAAAATGAGAAGAGAAACAGTTCCGCTTAGTTCGGGTGTAGATCCAATTCGGACTTTTATTTAAAAATAAATTTCTTAAGTAATACTAAAACTAATCTAAAGTAACCTAATCGCAGCTACACAATTGCTTTTATCTATAGGGTGAGATAAAAAAAAACTGCAACAAAGTCAAACGCCATAATTTTTACAATTGTTTTTAAATTTTATTGAATGAAAGCAAGAAAAATCGGAAATACCACCAAATTTTAGAATAAGTTTAGATTTGTTAGAATTAGTCACCTTTGGCACGAATTATGGCCTTCAAACGGCTAAAGAAACCGTCACACGCTGCCCGAATTTTGCTCTGCGGTATTTTGGCCCAATCCCGGCGAAGCGCTTGCTCGAGGTGATCGGCACTTTGGTATTTTTTTAGTGCCAACCTTGCTGTCGAGAATACTCCAGACACAATAGTCCAATGGATTGGTAGCCGGAGATTTTGGTGGCCATTGTGTGCTGGAAATGTAGCGGGGAACCTCATTTTGTAACCATTCTTGGGTGGAGCGTGCTGAGTGCGATGGTGCTGAGTTCTGTTGGAATGTCCAAGGTCTGCGGCCAAAATGTTTGCGTGCCCAAGCCTTGAATACACCCTCCAGAATATTTTCGCGATAATATTACGCATTTATTCTGATGCCACGGTCGATTAATACGAGTGGAGAGCGACCATCGGCTGTTATGGCAGCACACACCATTAGCATTGCTGGCGCTTGAGTTCTGATGGCCAACCGAAGGTGCACATTTTTAGCTCTTAGGCAAGTAAACACAATCATTTTCTTTGTTTACAAACTTCTGGACAAAGAATGTTTTCTCATCGGAGACGGAGAAACCCAAATTCGGCAGTTCACCACTTTCGGCCAAACGAAGCAACTCTTTAGCTGTTTTGAGTCTATTTCCTTTCTGTTGCGGTGTAAGTTCTTGCACTGTTTGGAATTTCAATGGCTTTACCCCGAGCTCATTTTTCATTATCCCGAGCATTGTCACCCAACTCTTGGCAATATTCTCATCTTGGCTTTTGCTCACGATGAGCCTACATAGCTAAATTAAGAACGGCGAAGGTAAGAAAATTTCTCTAAGTCTCCAAATGACTGAATGTCATTACCACCAGCTGACCTGAGGAGATGAATTTGCAAAATATCCGTATTTATTTTCAAGGTCATATTATTCTTCTTTTTACCGTCACCCATAATATTATACATTGGTTGGTGTTTAAGGGAACCACTTTGATCCGTCTTGTTGCAGAGCACGACAACTTCATTAGAACGGGTAGTTTAACGCGACAGTCTGGAGATCATTTGCACTGGATCATTTACATTAAAATTTTTCTACCAGACAAACCGACCGTCCGCGACTGCTTATTTGATTCGCAGGTACCCATATTTCTATTGGGCGTTCCACTATCCGCAACCTGAAGATGTATCCGTTAGCAAACATCCATGCCCACCGAAGGAGGAACGACGACGCCTGGGCCCATAAACTTGTAATAATTCCGTATTCTTCTATAGACATATCTCTTCTACATAGATCATTTACTGTTGGATCACTGTTTCCATCTGACACGCCGTTGGTGTCTTTTTGTGACATATACTCAGTCTTCTCCGCTTAATAATCTAGGAAAGCTTATTCGAATGGCGTTTTCCATTTGACATTCCGTGAATAGCTTCGTCAGATGCAAATGTATTTCCTCGGCCTTTGCCGCTTAACGATTTACGATTGCTTACTTAATTTAAAGCTTATCACCATATCTATATGTGCCTTTTAGTTATCCATCACCTACAAATAATCGAAGTAGTTCTGAACTAGCTTTTTTTTAATGGATACTGTTGAGTTCATAGGGATTTTGCCTTGCTATGGACTAGAACATTTCTTGTTGATGATTTTTTAGTTGGATAAATGTTTCCATTCGCCATGTCCTGTAAAACGTGGTCGAACAGATTTTTTTTTAAATACAGCTCTTCTTCTGATATAAAATTCCATTTTAAGATTTTGGTGAGTTTTTCCATTTCGGTTTTATTTAGCTTTAAAGTGGTTTTCCTTTTTAGAATGCTGTAATATGACACAATGTAGTGTCCAACAGTAATTCCCAAGATCAGAAATTGGCCATGTATTCGTAGATCTCCCCAATGTTTGCTTTATGACTACAGAATTTCTAATGTGTGGATGCTAGGTTTAAAGAAACAATTCATACTTGCTGCCTCAGTATTTAGAAGATAACGACCCATGTTGTTTATATGATTATGCACCAACAAACACTGTATTCCTCTAATGAAGGGATAATTGATCTTCCCCCAATTGGTAAAAAAAAAAACACTCCACAAGCAATATTCTACAACATATAATTGATATGGCCTTGCCTCAGTTGTTGACGGCACTGACCCACGAGCAACATTTTCCACCAAGAGCATATTCTGGCTCCATTTTAAAATCCTAAAATTTCCACGAATATATGATGCAGCAATTAACAATGTTTCATTTTATATGATTTTATATTAGCAAACCACCTGCTGATCGGCGTTTCTATATATAAAATTGCAACTTTTATTATTTATTAGTATTCCTCTGAACTTTTCTTGATGGTTGCAAAAATGGAATGACAAATTGACAAAATATTTCTTCTAAGCAAACAGACCCTCGCACTAATGTTTCTTCTTATTAGAACAATGCACTATGGGTAAAAAGCATGATTTTTTGGCATAAAGTCATTTTTTTTTGGTTTCATATTTTGAAATTTAACTGATTTCCTAAATGTATATACCCATATTAGAAAAAAAAATGTTTAATATCAATACGGGTGGCAACCCTTTTTTGCTGGCGAGCTTTTAAAGTCAGCTGTTTGAAAGTCACTTTGTTTTGGTACAACTGGCGGTAAAGATCAGCTAAGTTCAAGTGCTTCTGATTTGACAAAATTGAAAAAAATAAAATGTGTAATTATGGAAAACGTTAGTGCAGGTATGTAAAATTAAGACGAGGTGCCCTTTTTGTCATAATTGTCTGTTGTTGTAATACTGTGAAATGTTTCGTTTATGTATAGCTTTATATAAAATTTATAAATTGTAGTTGTGTTCCGTGGAGTGTAACTTGTGAATGGCAAAGCATTGCAAAAAGGTATAAATGCCAAGTTATTAACAAAAGTGTGTTAATTAATGAGTAACTAGCCTTTTTTGTTCTATTTTGTGCCAACACGTGTTTTGCAGATAAACACGTGTTTGCCCATGCAGCGCTTATTGAAATTTGGAGCAGCAACAATCGCTCAGAAGATGCACTAGTAAAATATGTGGTACAGAATATCAATAATATCACTTTAAATGAAGACCAAATGCGTTTGATATCAAAACAAGTTAAAAATTTTGTTAATTATATAAAAAAGCATTTGCCAAAGTGCATCCGTAAACTAGAGCGATTTAAAACTAAACATTCAAAATGGCTTAGCAAAAGTATAATTATTGTAATGAATGAGCAGTATGTTTCTCCAAATCAACATAGCCGATCGGCCAGATCGGCTATATAGCAGCTACATGAAATAGTGCCCCAAATCATATGAAAATTCGTAAGTCATCTTGGGGGGGCTTAAAAAATGAATACAAACCAAATTTCATTTCAATAGCTTCATAAACAAAAAAGTTGGGTCAAATCGGCTATATAGCAGCTATATGAAATAGTTCCCCAAATCATATGAAAATTCGTAGGTCATCTTGGGGGCATAAAAAATGAATACAAACCAAATTTCACTTCAATAGCTTCATAAACAAAAAAGTTGGGTCAAATCGGCCAGATCGGCTATATAGCAGCTATATGAAATAGTGCCCCAAATCATATGAAAATTGGTAGGTCATCTTGGAAGC